ACGTCCACATGGACCTCCTCTCAGTCTTTACATCTTTATCTCACTGCTGTCTTCTTTCATGTGGCATTGTTCTCTCACTGGCCAATCCTCAACACTACATTTCTCATGCCAGATACTCTTGTGTACTGTGCGTTTTGCAGTTACAGCAACTAAAAACATGAAAAAATAAGAAACGAGTGTGGCAGAAAAGCACCTGAAAGTTTAAAAACAGACAAAACGATTCAGCCTTTTGTGACTGTTAACCTTACAAGCATGGAGTTAGGACAGCCTGAGCAGCAAGCCTATGGTGCAACCCATCTGTGTCTGGTTATGAAGCAGGCTCACAGCCCCAGGCCAGAGCCACCATGTTGTGTAATAGCCACATAAGCAGAGACAGAGTCCTGAGGGGGCTACAGAGTCACCCACTGGGATGACAATAACAGGTTGGTTAATAGAAATTCACTTCCACGCAAAACCACCAGTCACACACAGTAAAAGTGCAGGAAGAAAAGTGCATACAGTATTAACAAGTATCATGCAAAGACACTTTAGTGACACGTGTGAGTGAGTAAACAACAAACGGCTCGATACGTTTGTGACTGAGGTTATTTTCTCTTCTGGATCTCTGCAGCTCTGGTTGGACATTGTTCTGTGTGTGTTTCCTGTTGTGTTGACTGCTGTGTGAGAATGCTTCTTGTTCATCCAGATGTGTGAACGTGATTGTGTGTGCAAGGGTCAAGATTCTTTTAAACAGTTGTGTCTATTTTCCGCGTGCATTATCCTGTCTACTGTCTCACAGACATGCAACAACAAGAAACAAATAAATAAGTAAAAATAAAACTATCTGCAGGCGGAAATGTTTCATGCGACTAGAAGAATTTACAGTGGTAACCTCATCATACTTCTACTGTATTTGACAATACATTAAGTGCTGCTGAACGATTAAGAATTTTAAATGAATGTATTGTCAACAAATGTTTATATTTATATAAAATGTATATTACATTCACACTTATGCAGCTTTAGACAGTCCATGATGTCGTTCTTATTTTTGCATTGATTATAGGGCTGGACGATATGGCCCAAACTTTTATCATGCTATATTTCTTAATTTCGGTCGATAACGATATAATTCGATATTGATACAAACAATATAAAAGCCTCAGAAAAACGGTACAAACTGTACAGATAAATTAATGTTCACCTTTTATTTGTATTTAGCCTTCAAAAAAATTGATATCACCGTCAAATAAACAAAACTCTCAGCTTTGTCAGTAATAGTTTGAACTTTAAACAGCACGACCCTAACCCATGCAGCAAACGTTTACGTTTGATACAGCTGGGGGTGTTGTTTCAGGGACACATTGGCTCAAACTTTTATTGTGCTTCATCGTTTGACTCTCAGCATATTCTGTCGAGTGGAAACTCTTCACATGGTGGAACAGGTTCGATGTGTTCCCACCGCTAGTTGGAACAACTCTCTGTCACATTTTGCAGCTCGAACCTGCAGTTTATATTATCTTAGATAGCCGAACGACTTCCACACCGCCGAATTAGTCATTCCTCTCTGATCAATGATGTCATCTGCTTTCTCTTCGCTTGTGCAAGCTTGTTCAGTCACATTCTGATGGGCACTCATTTTGAAGCGATAACACCGCGCGCTAGATTAGCCTAGCCTGCTACCATTGACTCATTTGAGCTCTGTGTGTGGTGTACGTCACCACGCACTTCAATTAAATTCAATTCAAAAATACTTTATTAATCCCAAAGGGAAATTATTTGTTGTTGTAACTCATTATCCTCATTTCACTAAGATGTTATAGATGCTGATGGCTGTAGGCAGGAAGGATCTCTTGTAAAGGTCCATCCCACAGTGGATCCTAAGAAACTGGCTGCAGATGCCGTTCGATCCGTCCACCCAGACTGGCCTCTCGATTCCCCCGGGCTGTAGGACCGCCCGAATACCGGGCAGAACTCCTCCCAGAGCGATGGCCACTACTCCCAGCAGTCTGCCGAGCTCCTCGTCGCTGCGGACAGCCAACTGTAGGTGTCGAGGGACGATCCTGTCCTTCAGCTGTCTTGAGCCGTGTTTCCTGCTAGTTCCAGGATCTCAGTGGTCAGACACTCGAGCACAGCAGGCAGGTAGATGAGAATGCGTCCACAGAACATCCTTTTCAACTCACGAGATTTGGGGCTGTAGTTGAGATATTATTTGAGCTTTTGAGATGTTAATCAGCTGCTGTTGGTTGTAGAAAACTGCCTTGTTGCCATGGTTATGCATCATAACAAATGTCCAACACTAAAAAAGTTTCGGTAAAAATTTTTCCAGCTGCACAACATCTGACACCAGAGGAAACAATAATCCAAAAAAATGTGATTTACATCCATTCAAACAGGAATTAAAGTTTCCAAAAGCAAAATCTCAGAATGAAAGTAACAGAGCTGCTCCAACATGCAGCCACCTCGAGTGGCACAATTGTAGAACTCATACATAACGACATAGTTATGTTACATAGTTATGTGTCGCTGTTTTTTCTGTTCGGGTTGAAGCCGACCCAAACAGAAAAAAGAAATGTGTCAGTGAAACGCTGTAATCTTATTGAAATATCGAAAATGTGCGTAAAACTCATATCACCATTATTGAATAAAAGTATATTGTGATATATAATATCGAATTATTGTCCAGTTATAATTCATTATGTCTGTAAAGGCTGGTTTGGGGATCAACCAAAACATTTTGATATAAAAAATAAATAAACACATTTATGTCTTAGCGTACTTTGCTGCAGTACCTCCTGCCACTTTCTTTTTGAAATGTTCAATTTTAGCTCGTTTCTTTAAATCTCCCCTCCTGAAAGACTCTTTTGTGACTAGTTAAAAATGGTGGTTTGTTGACAGCAGCACCTTTTTGAGTTGAGGCACTGCACAGGTATTATGTGAATGTTTTACATGAGGCAGAAGAGACATTTCAAGCTTTTCAGGTTAAGTTTCTTGATCAGGAGTAAAAGACATTTAAACTTTGGTCTTTGTAACTTGAAAGACTGTTCACATCCACATAAAGACTTTGACAAACTTACAAAAAGCAAATGTAAAACAAAAAAAAAAAATCCAAAAACTACTGATATTATACTTTGTCTTCTTTAGAATACTAACAAGAATTTATTACTGGCACTCTTACAGCCGAAACAAACCAGCTATGCACCGTGTTATAACGTTCTCTTGTGCAATTTAGTGTTTTTTTGTTTCTTTAATGACTCTACCTGTCATTCTTAATATTCAGTGCTGTCATATCTGTGTTAACACACATTCAGTGACAGTTCAGTCAGTCACATTAAGAAGGAACAAAAGGAAAATGTGACAAGAAAAACCACAGCAACTTTAAAGACTATCAGTTTAACAATGTTGGCAGGTTTTTAATAAGACTTCCGTCAGACATAGAGAGCTGCTAATGTCTTAGACTGAGGGATTTTATATTTTCAGTCTGAAGCCAAACAGCACTGTTTTAAACACCTTTTGCAAAATCCAAAATACATCTATATTTACAGATGTGAAAAAAAAAATCTAAAATTCTAAATGAATCCAGTTTTCATGACAAAACAATGGAATCAATACCTGAATAATTTCCTTTTAACTTGGAAAAACATTGCTAAGGTAACAGCCATTTTATTGTATAACTTCTTCAAAATCCTGGATTCCCTCCCAAATATTAGGAGTTATCTGTAGTTTGATTTTTTTTTTTTACATTGAAATAAATATAGTTGTATTTATAATTAGTTGATATTTATTAATTATTTATTTTCCAAGTCTCTCCTGTAAATGAGTCCCCGAGGCTCAGATTAACCTGTATAAATAAAGGTTGAATGAATATAGTTTTATTTATATTTAAAGCACAGCAAAATTGCTTAATCCTCTTGAAATGATTCTTGATTTGTTTACAATTGAACAGTTTGATGCAAGCTTCATCATTTATGACGTCTATCCACCAACAAGAGAAGCACTGACACCTGTGAAATCAGTAGAGCGAATGGGGAGCAATTTTATTTTTGCCTGGTTCTGTGTGTGTATGTGTGTGTGTGTGTGTGTGTGTGTGTGTGTGTTGCTGTACTGTTAGCAAATGGGTTGCCATCTACAACTCACTTTATTTTTCCAATTGTCCATTACACCTAATCGATTCTAACAAACACAAAAAATACCATCTGAACCAGTTTTACATGCCAAGCTAAAACTTGTTGTGGTATTAGCTGAGAGTCATTCTCAGCACATGCTCAGAGGGCTGTCCACTGCACAACATCTGCTAAAAGCTGTTTTCCAAGCTTACCAACAAATATGTTTGTGTGTTTGTTTGTTTGTCAGCTCATGAACCACGGGGTGGGCTTTGAAGAAACTCTAAGAAATGGATCACTGGATGTTCATCCACAGCTGATTAACATTTGGAGTTAACTCAATTCAAGATGGCCACCATAGCTTATCTGTGCCTGCCAACACAAAATAGCTATAATTTACTCAAAACTATTGAAATTGAGTTTGTTTGTGTGGAAGTAGATGAGGACAATCCTCAACATCCTCCATTCGCCAACACAATTTGTGGCTGTGGTGGCCATTTCGAATTAAAGCAGCGGGCGATATGCATTCCTTGAAAGAATTCTCTAAGTGGTTCCCATCCGTGGTCCTGGAGGAAGTCTATCCTCCATATCCTGATGCATGCTCAATAATCCAGGTAGAAAAATTTAGATCTATCCTCCATGTTTTTGTTGTTTCCCTGCTTTGACACACCTTGAATGAATGTGTGACGAACTGCAGAACCTGAGGAAGTTATTAAAACACTGTCGCAGGTGTGCTGGAGCGGGGAAACAACTAAAACATGCAGCACAGTGTTCCTGGAGAACCAAGGTTAATGGGAACCATTCTGAAAGATAGCTTCTCCAGGTCCTCTCCCCGCCTGTCCCCTCCTCTGGCCGGTAGAGGTCGCAGCCGAGCGGCCGCTGGGAGCTCTGGAGCGCACGGACGCGTCAGATGCGCTCCTGCATGACAAAGCTCACAGAGCGCCTGGGAACCTTGGAGGGAGAGAACGGGCTCTTTGGGAGCAGCACGATCACCTTTGCATCTTTACCTCCGACCCACCGGGGCTCGGTTCGTCCTCAAACAACTTCACGAACTGCCCTGCTTCTTAGTTTTCGGGAAGCTCCCGGCTCCTGTCTCCCTTTCTCCAAGTGAACTTTGTAGGGATGTTAGAGCATCATCGCGCAGATATCAGTGCTGAAGTATTTAAAGGACGGATATAGAAGCTGAGCGCCTGGAGAGACCTGGTTTTTATCCTCTTGTTGCACTTTTTTGTTCGGTTTAACGCACGAAACAGAAGGAGAGGGAGAGAGCGTGTGTGCAGGGGGAGAGAGAAATCACACACTTTTTTTTTCTTTTTCTTTTTTTTTTTTTTTTGGAGCAACGTTTTCATGCCTTCAGTCTTGCGGACTCTGAGATGGACGTGAGATTTTATCCAGCTCCTAATTCCAGCGTGGGTTCATGTACATTACCTACCGACTCCAGTCTGGACTATTATCATTCTAACAAGGTAAGCAGTTATCTCATCGTCCCAGCCTCCAACTCGGTCAGATGTTCAGTTTCAGATGCAAACGCGCACAGAACTCCATCGATGGCTCTATGATCCGGCACTTCTGGCTCCCTGGGGATCATTAAAACACGAATCTACTGCAAAAGGTCAACTTTATGCATTCTTTTTGTTTTCACTGACACCTGCTTTAAGATGGTGAACGTGAAGATTCCTTCAGTTGCATTTTGTAATTATGTGTTTATTAGAGCTGCTGTGCCGCGTGCGTTTGGAGCGCGCCGCTGCTTTCTCACATCAAACCGAGCCAACAGTAAATGTGAACATGATTGTGTCTCAGTTGATATTTACTTAAGCAAACTTCTCTTTATGACTAAAACTCATCTATGCTAATTGCGTAAAAGTGTTGTTTCATGGAACAAGTCCCCACGTGATGATAGCCGGTGCACAGTTCAATAAATAAGCATCAAGAGCTCATTGAAATGTGGTTTTAACTGCGTGCTGTGTCCATTTCTGCTTCATATCAGTTTGTTTTCTTTTTGCTATTATTTAGGTAAGAAATAAGCGTTGCACATTTGGTACACCCTATCTTCTGTGCGTAAAAATCCATTTGCAAGATACTTTTTGGGCACAAACTATTCGCTGACCATTATTAAAACATGGGACTAAAACTCTTAGGCATTTTTTTTTTTATCACTGGTTTATAGTTACAGCGTTTTGAAGATGTTGCCAAATGAAGAACAGTTTACGCAGCATTATCCTCAAGTCAATTCTGTCCCACGAAGAATAAGAATACAACTGTTGTTTAGTCACCACTTTTAAGTTTGGTCCTTTGATTCTAAACTGAATTGAAATTAAATTGAATTGGACTTTTCTGAGGATTGTCAAAGAGCTTATTGTATAATTTGATTGCTTCCACGTGGAGCTCACAGTCACTGACACGGCTTTAAACGTAAATCAAACAAACCTACTTGCATATAGTCCAAAATCACAAGCCAATTAAAGCAGATTTTTTTTTTAATTTTTCATGGCTCAGGTAAAACTTGTGCAAACATTCGCGTGCACCTACACCGGTGAGACTTAGAAGAAGGTATTACCCCAGATCCTCAGCCTTTTGCATGTTTTGCTTCCTTAACACCTGGAGGAAAGCCAGCAGGCAGTTACATTTGCTGATGACAGAATGATGCACGTGAAACGTTATAGCACAAAGGAATATTTGGATTGCTAATCTCTCCTGTTCACAGTCACCTGTTTGCATTGCACATGCAGATAGCAGCACACTCACACACTCACTTGCAAAGATTGTTTTAAATTGCACTGACTCAAGTTGCATCCCAACTTTTTACCAATAATAACATGAAAAACTGCAATTCACTCATTTTATAATTAGCACCCGGAATGCACGGGTACCCTCATGGTTAAGTTGCATCTGTTGGGCTTGTGTAGGTGTTTCTGTGCATAGGTACAGCTAACACACACAAACACACAGTAGGCATGCAGAGTTTAGCTCCATGTGTATGTTTAGGATCACAGTGGTGCCTTCCTTTTTTTCCGACTGAGGCTACAATCAAGGGAATGTATAGTTTTAACACAATGAACGACTAATTATCATGATTCAGTGGCTAGTGAGCAGCATGTTTGGGTCTGAAGGACCGATTCATGTAACACTGTCATTAGAAACACAACAGCTGTGACTAAGATGCAAAGTGGCACAATGTTGTCACTGTACACCTGCTTTTGCACTAAAAAATGATACAGGTTCTCTATGTCAGGTTTATTTTATTCAGAAAAGTAACCTTGTGCTTAAACACCGCAACATGTATTTAAAATGGCCTCAGCTACCAGTAAGGCTTGCAAATTAAATGTATTTGTTTTGTTTTGCCAGCATCATATTTTCAGTCTAAGAATTGCAAAGGCTTTAAAGTCTAAAATCTTTTTAGGTCTCAAGGTGTGAAATCCAAAGGTGTGATTATACATAACAGCACAATATTAAAAACACCAATAAGGTAGTGAGCATAAAACTAGGTGAGACATTCCATTTATTAAAACAGCATCACCTCCAGTTCTGGTGGTGCAAACTCAAAACACATTTATTCATGAGAGTGACCGTGTGGCTTTATAAGAACAATTATAAATGCAGTTGCATGTACAGTAACCGGAAATGCATTCTTTCTATTTTCTACCTAAAAGGGTTATTATTAAACAAGGACTGTGAAGAATGTGCAAGCTGAAACCGGTTTAAGCTGATTGACCACATTCAAACTGATGGTTGATTGATGCGTGGCAGGAATATGGATCGCTCTGACAGAATGATTGAAACGCCACAAATATGTAAATGTGCTTTGAATTTTGAGTAAGGGTTTGCTTGAAATTCATACATCAACAAAAACAAGCCAGTCGCTAAAACAAATACAGTTTTACCCACATAAAAATGGTAATGCTTGGATTGTAAGCTGCGTCCAGCGGGGTGTCGTTTCTGTTTGAGCTATTTTCTTGGACACCTTTTGCACCCACATTGTATTAAACTTAACCGTATACCCTGAATTTCAAATATTGCACTTTCCCCTGTCTAAAATAATTGCAAATTCAACTCTAAACTCATTAAGGCAACCCAAATTTTGCTAGATTTCATTATTGCTATGTTACAAATGGTAACCGTCCACTTGCAGCACTCAGATAATTCCCTAATTATGAAAAACAAAACCTGATTTCTTATCAAAAAAATGATTATGAGATCATGAAAATAAAGCAAAACCATTGTGCTTCTACAGTATGCATCCACTTTTCTGAACAATGCAACAAAGAACATATGAGACGAGCATTGATTTGTGTTTTTGCTAAGGACCCCGAGGCTCCGTTGCTCTTCTTAACTCCATCCAAGTTGTATTGTCCCGCACTTGCACAATCACAGTGAGTCATCTTCACTTTTCACCCAAGATTTCTTCTAATCTTTTTGAAGTCTCTCTGTATCTTTCCTCTCTGAGTGGGAGGCTTGTTTGCTCAGCGTACACTCAGCTGTGTGTAAGAGTGCTGAAGGCCACTTCTTCGCAAATGCCTGTTTTAGTGGGAGACTATTTGTCAAATGCATTATGACTTGTGCATACCCCCGGGCAGAATCACTCCGATGAAATGAAGTTGGATAGATTACTGTAGATGTTCCACTTTCTCCTCATCCCTCTCCCCTCTAATTGCACAGTGCCCAAGAGAGAGCCTCTCATGTAATTATACTGTAGTTATTCTGTAGGTTTATAATCTAATGGTTTGCAGATGTTATTCTTTACATAGCTGCCATCTGTTCCAACTTACTACATGTTATTTATATACTTTTGCTTGAGTGTTTTGCAAAGGACTCCATCAGTCTGTTCATGCAGGGCATGCAAGATCGTTAAAGGACTGCAATAAATTTAAGAAATGTGTTTTACCACAATCTATACATTGTTTTTGCTTTATTGTGCGGGTTGAAAGACAAAGCAGACATGTGTCCACTCAGATAGCAATGACAGTTTTAGCAGAGCACCCTTTCTCAAATGATTTGCACCGTAAATGTTCCCCAAATCACTAAATTAGTCATAGGATACTTCAAAGTATGGGCGTGCAAGGGGAAAAATATCTATATTGAATTCTCAATGTGATTTTTTTTTATTTTTGGAAACACAACTGTAATAGAAACAGAAAAAGTACTGTTATTCCAGTGGAACCTCATTCTGTACACACGGAGAAGTTAATTACATGGAGGCAAGCATTCTTGGGTCGACAGCGTGGACTTCAGGTTTTTCATTGTGCCCATTCAGAACATTCTGCTGACTGGCCAGTCCGAGCTGCAGTATCCCAACTGTTCCCACTGCGAACACGTTAACCCGTGCACAGCTCAAACGCACACAGTCAGAGTAGCTGGAACTGCTGGGAACTCTTAAAGTTGTAAGTTTATTGTTCTTATCCAGTTCTAGGCAGTTAACTCAGAACAAAAAACATTGAACAAAGTCATGAGATGGGCATTTTATTTTCTATTTTAAAAGCTATATGTTTACGAGCCTACTTTATGATGTTATTGTTTTGGTCTACCCATTTCCTGGCACTATTCGTAATCGAGTCTCTTGGTCTCTCCATATCTCCCCCCTGTGTCAAACTTCTTTTCTCATTTACCTTCCCAGCAGCAATGTCAAAAGGTTATGCAGGGAAGCTGGATCGCCTGGGGCTGATTGTGTCTCTCAGTTAATGATAAGTAGCTACAGTGCTATTCTCTGGAGCAGTGGGGCTTAGATTGTGTTTGGTGCACACAGTCCATTACAGTAAGAGGAAAACAGGCTGTGTTTATCAGGCTTTTTTGTTTTGAATGCAAGAAATATACTTTTTTTTTTTTGTTAAAATGGAAACATTTGTTAGAACTTGTCATTTCTTACAATCCATTTATTAGGGATGCACAATATTATCGTCATGGTATCGGTATCGGCCGATATTAGCGTTAAAGTTCAATATCAGACATCGGCCATTCCATCAAAATAACTCACAGATATAAAAGGTGCTGTTTTTGTATGACAAACCAGTGACAAGGATGCCTGCAGCAGCAGCACAACGTGATGACGTCGCACGCGCACCTACCTGATCTCACGGCGGAGAGGAAAATTATAATGTCAGTGTGGAAGGGGCTTTTATGTTGAGGATGTCAGATTCTGAAGATTTCTAGACTACGTTGAGCCTCACTACATTGTCCCCAGTCGGGGATATTTTTCCGACATAACCTTACCGGCGTTACAAGCCGTCATTTCCAACGTCAATGAGAAGCTAACAGTCGATAGCACTTGGGTGAGTTTTACCACAGACATTTGGACGTCAAGTGTTAGCTTGTTAGCATGATTAGTCTTACGGCACAATGGATAGACAAAAACTTTGAACTTAAAAAGGCTGTCCTTCATGCACAAGAGTGCAGGGGATCCCACACTGCAGCTAGGAACCCGGAACAAGTCTCCACAAGTCAAACAGGATTGCAAGTGACTAATTCTATTGAA